TTACCGACTCTTTTCTCTCTTTGTTCACAGCCCCGATGAGGACTCCTGTCAGAAATTTGTGCCATTTATTGGGGTAAGCATTTTCATGCCAGGACACTGTTGTTAATTCATTTTGTAGCTAGTTTTGTTTTACGCTGACATCCTTTTTTTTTTTTTTTTTTTTTTGCAGGTTGTAAAAGTTGGGATTGTGGAGCAAAGTCTCTCAACCTCAGGTAAGAAAGCCATATTTTTAAAAGGTGTTGTAGTGTTTTATCAGGTTAGTGTCTGTTTTCTGACACAAACACCCCAAAAATTGCAATTTTTTTTGCTTCAGCTACATGATTACGAGGGGATTTGATGCATATACACTTTGGAAAGCATTAAGTATCTTGAAGCTTTGAAGCTGGGTGTGAGATTCTTTTTTTCTACTCATCCACAGTGGACTCAGATGACGCGATGGGAGGCAACACAGGCATTCTGTCTTCTCCAACGCCCCCATCGGCTGGTCCGTATGGAAAGGAGATCGGAGGAACCCCCCCACAGTCTCCCTCCGTGTCCACTGCCCTGTCTGGAGCTGGGTACGGCAACGCTCGCATTACCTGCTGCTTTAATTGTCAGCTGTGTCTCCGCCATGTTTCTGACCTTGCCGGTTTTCCTTCGCAGCTCTCCGTGTTCGGGCAGTGAGGTGATGGGGCTCCAGGTGGACTACTGGACGTGGCAAGGCCCAGAGAAGAAGAAGGAGGGAGAGAAGAGAGATGTCGGGCTGAAGAACACTCTGAAGAGTAACTTCCGTTCACTGCAAGTCAGCCGTCTCCCATGCGGAGGAGAACTCACCCCTCCTCCCAGCATGGCCATGACCGTGGTCACCAAGGAGAAGAACAAGAAAGGTACGTTTGGGGAATAAGACTGAGCCTTTGGTATTCAGATGGATTGCATTTTCCTCTTTTATCTTGTTCTTAAGCTTCAGTCCCACATCATTTTTCACTTCCAGTGCACAAGGCTAGGCCTTGGCAGTCTAGATGAAAAATAAAATATCTTGGTAAAATGTTTAATTTCAGTTGGTTTTGATGATTATTAATAATTTTTAATGCCCTAATTTTATAAAGGGGGAAAAAAAGCCTTAATTTGAGTGTAACTGCTTTTTCAAGGTAATACTTTTATTAACACATGCATCTAATGCATTTAAGTGAAACTATCCAGCATTCTATTAAACAACTGTCTTGTAGCTATGATGAAGTGTCTATCGCAGATACGTATCGCTGTCTTTTTATTGCCCAGGCCGACACAAGACAGATGAGTTGTAATTTTTATCTAGCTGAGAAAGGTTAAAGGACTACTACATCAGTTTCACATTGCACTCTTGTAACATCACACTCCCAACGGTAAGGTAAAAAAACAAACAAAAAAAACGGATGCAGCAGATATATCATCTGTTTTGTTCGACACAATCTCGGGCCCAATTTACCCAAAATGCAACTCAACTGCTGACAGCTTGGACAGAGATTCAAGCGCGTTATGCGTGTAGCAGCTAATCTAGCCTCAAGCCTGCAGCATCAAGCAGAGATGAGAAGATCACTTCTTTCTAAGCACACACCCCCACATTTTTTCTCCTCCTATTTTCAAACTTGTAGTCTTTTACCACAACTGATTCAAGTGACATCACTTGAGACTGTTTATCAGACTTCACTCAGCTTCCTCTGGAGACGCAGCAGGCTCTGTACAGCTTCTTTTTTCCACAAACGCAGTAGGCACTCCTTAAAACCTGTAAACACACTTTGATGTGGAAAAAATGGTGGAATTCTTCTTTACGTTAAAAAAATTAATATAAAAATGTGAAGAAAATGAATTTTTATGCCTCACCTTACTCTCCTCCCATTCCCAGTGATTTTTCTCAGTAAGAAGCCCAAGGAGAAAGAGCTGGACTCTAAGAGCCAAGTGATTGATGGTATCAGCAGGTTGATCTGCACAGCCAAGCACCAGCACACGATGCTGAGAGGTAAGAGCCAAGCCGAGGCCGCACTGCCATCTGGTGTTGACGTTACACGCCAGCAGCCTTGTAAACAAAGAATTATCTACTGTTTAACAGCTGGCGGTGGAAATTATCCAGCGTGGATGATATCATTTTAATGTGGTGTTTGTCTGTTCAGGCGTTTGACTCCTCTGTTTCCCCCTCAGTCACAATCGACGGAGTGGAGTGGAACGATGTCAAGTTTTTCCAGCTCGCTGCCCAGTGGCCAACGCATGTCAAGCACTTCCCGGTGGGCATCTTCGGTTACACGAAGCCTGTGTGACGCCGATCGCCATCCGCGCAACCACCAGACTCTCCGCTGCACTTGTCTCACCGAGAGGCTACAGAGAATTAGAGGAAAAGCCAACAGGGCCCCTGGCAGTAATAGTTTTCCTGTGGAAATCTTACTGACTCACAACCACGTGTTCAATACACAAATTTCATGTTGTCTAATTGATGTTTTTGATGTTGATGTTGTTGGGTGTTGATGTTGTTTTTTACACACTACAAAAAGAACAAGTACTATTTTGTAAGATTTGTGCTACCGCCTCGGAGGTATTTTGAGGTTTTTGACAATTTGCCACATTTCGATAATGGCAGCTGTGTTTGCACTTTGTTTTTGTTAACATTTTATTATTTCTGTGAAATCCTACATTTATTGTTACTCTTTAGACAATGGAGGAGTGTGATGGTGATGTGCAGTGGCGTGCGTGAGATTGTTGGAGACCGTGTTTGTGTTTGTTGTTGAAAGTTGGAATATTGCTGTGAATCTAGATGGAATCCTTCTCTTCTAACTCAGTGCTCAGTTTTCTTACTCGTCCCCTTACTTTCTCAAAAAGGTCCATTTTTATAGGAAGGAACATAAAGTTCTTTTTGCCTGGTTGCTTTTAGGCACGCTGTGTACCTAGAGCAAATTAAACAAAACTAAAAACCAACTCTAGCAAGGTATTTGAAGGTAGACATTGAAGCAGTTCAGCGAATCAGTTCATTATTATAAGTGCTGACGTTTGTATTAGTGTTAGTGTACATTCAGACTGTACAGTAAGAACCACTTAGAAGCAGGGTAGCAACTCACTTCAACCCCCAACAGCTGAATGCCAAATTTAGTCACGACAGTATGAACTGTCTTATTGTTTCCTGCGGTGTTGTACTTGGGCCTTTCTTGGAGTAGTTTCAGGTTTTATTTGGTAAACATCTGTGTTCCACCTTGATGTACTGGCTTACCTGAGAGGACGTCTCACATACCTGCAGTAACTTTGCAAATACTGGACTGTGCAGTGATGTGCCAAAGTCAAGTTTGTTTTACAGTCTAATCACAAGAGCTCTTGGCTTGGCCAAACTTCATTAGTATGTTTAACTGAAAACTAAAATTGTACATTTACTGTGTTTGTGGTCTCCATTGAGGTCAGTATTATGATTACTGAGTTATTAATTGTGACAAATTTACCAGTTAGCACTCCATGTTTGGCCAAATGTAAACGTATGAAGCATTTATAAGATGGGTGCAAATCCTAACCAAGCAATTACCATTGTGTCCTTTAATATAGCTTCACCGTGGCTGGATGTGCAAATAGTACCTAACCTAAAACAAACTTATAAGGCTGGTAGTTCAGTATTGTAAGAGCCTGTTGCGAGAATATTACAGATTAGAATGACTCTGTCTGACTTGAAACATGCTTTGACAGTAGCGTCCAACGCAATGCAAGTATTGAATTGCTTTTAAAATATGACGACAAGTGTATGGAGTCTTGCCAGATGTCCGAGTCACTGCCTATGTGTGTCTGTGTAGGTGTGCTATATGTTTGATGGTACTCCCTCAATAGTGTTACGTGAAACTTTTGCAATAGGAAACCTTTGGACAAAGGGCCTTCTGTATGAGTTTGTTGCTTTTTTATAAAGACAAGCTTTGATAGGCTGGCTTTTTTTTTTTTAAAATATTGTATATAAATATATACAAGATATACTATTGTGAATTGCAAATCCCCCTTCCACTAAATTGAAAGCACAAATAGGTTTATTTCTTGACATAAATGCCAAATATATTTCCAGAACTCTTAACTATGAAGTTGTACAATGCAAACACTATTAGGTATGCCATTTCCCGTACATTTCCCTCACTTTGTAATGCACTTTCATGTGGTTTTATACACATTGTAGCTCAAATTGGGACACACTTTGGCTCTGAGGTAAAGTGATAAAGGTGTTATATTTGAAATGTAAACCACTACCTATTAGTCAAGAGAAGGCTTTTTTTTTTTTTTTTTTTAAATAGGGATGATGTGTTTCTATTGATGGGTTCAAGTGCCCTGAGAGGTCTCTAAACTATCATAGCTGTCTGTTACCTAATGTTTTGCCACTTAATGTTGAAAAGTTTATTTTGCAGCTACCACCACACGTGTCTGCCTGTGACTACACAGTCAAGTTTTCCTGCTGTCGGAAAGGTTTTCCTCTCAGTCAGGAGCCCAGCCGGCCCCTACCTGCTTGCAAACTCGGGCTGTGATTAAGTGTTAACCAGGGCAGAGTTGTTTTGAGGGAATTTGTCTTGCGGGTTTGCATTTGAAATACTACATGACAAGCAAAATGACAAATGTATTTCAAGGTATTTGACCTCAAGTTTTTTCTTTTTGTTTTTTTATTTTCCTTCTTACCCTAAATTCAGAGGTAGCATGGGGGTGTTCTACAAGGCTGGATCAATGAGCAGGCATGCTCCCTTTGTCACAGTTTAGCACTGTTTAAAAAAAACAAAAACATCTAACATCAGTGTTTATGCTTTCGTTACTGGTCAATCTACAATTGCATCATGCCATCTCATTGCTCCTGTTACTTGAAATGCCACCCAGTGTCTTTGCACAAACCCTATTTTAAATGACATGACAGTATTTTTAAATTTACCACTAAAAATATGGGTTACTCTGCATGTTTTACTATAGATGTAAATATGTTTTGGATTTTTATATTGTTTTGTTTCTTTCCATGCTCTCACAAGCAGTTGTGTTTAATAAAATTTTTAATCTTCTGTACAAACAGGTTGTCTTTATTTGCATTACTGCGGTTTCATTTCACTGCGAGGACCAAAATAATATTACAAGGTGATTACAAGCCAAAGACAGCAATCTGCAGTCCACTAAAACATGTCCCGGCTCACGTTGTGTTAGTTAGCTGAGATTGAGGGCAGGTTGACGTAACTCTTCATCGGAGGCAGCGGGTTAATCTTGCGTCCCGCCCAGCCTCCCTTCCTCTTCCACAAGCCGCTTGAAGGCCGAATGCCAAGCCAGCGGTTGCGACCGGCTTTGCCGATGATCCTTTTACCATGGTCGATGTTGGACACACGTCCCACCGTCACCATGCAGGTCTCCAGCACCTGTGTGGGTTTCAACAAGGCGTTTGGTTCAAAGCTGGAAATGATTTTTGACATGGCAGGTATAATGCTGCTTCAGATTATTCTCACCTGAACCTGCTGCTTTGAAGGAAGCTGAACGATTGCTGTTCCGTTGACTTTACGGAGCAAAACACCGCTTGTGCCTGAAAACCACAAGAAGTAGAGAAATTATGTGCAACCTAGTTTTAGAATAGATAGCTCTTTACAGTCACATTTACATAATAGGTAATAATTACCTGCAGCACGAATGTACTCCGCTCCCTTCCCTGGTTGCAGCTCCAGGTTGTTCACAAGCGTTCCCACCGGAAGAGCTCCCAGCGGGTAGGCGTCCCCTTCATTGGCTAACACTGCAAATCAAACATATACAGTTTACAAAAGTCAATCTTGTTTAACATCAACCCACGTCATCTCAAGGCAGCTGGAGAAGATGACATCCACAAACTCAGAAATGTTTCTCACACCTGCCATGCGTCCAATAACTCCAGATGTTTTAATGATGTCTCCAGCCTGCATCTTCTCTGTCGCAATGATCCATCTTTTCCGGCTACCTCCAGCTAACAGTGCAATATCAGCAGACCTATATAAAGAAAAAGGGTGAAGATGAAGACCACCTCTGTTGTCATTATCTTTAGGATAAATCAAAGTCCTGTGTGTCACAGCGGCTAATCTCACCTGCATGGGTCGTATCTCACTTCAACAACCTTCTCTTCAAAAGGCTTGGCTTCCGCATTGGGTTCGTAACGCAGTCGCTGAAAGTCTATCCACCGGTATTTTTGTTTATGACCACCGCCGATGCCATGCGTACGGATCCTTCCTGTGAGGGAGATAGAAAATAAGCATCTGAGAACAGGTGTAACAGTTGTTCGAAGAGTAAATACATCACATAATGAGAAATTGTAAGCCCTTTACATCAGGCTGAACTTCTAAATGATGTGTTCAAACTGAGGGGAAATTGTTAAGCAATTCTCAAATGGATACTTGATATCAGATTATAAACAAAGGCTGTATCAAAGAATACTTCTCATTATCAATTTGTCAGTTGAAAAGTTGAAAGTTGTTACAAAGAATAACAGCTTTTGTCCAACTAACACTACAGAACCAGTTTAGTTTTCACCTAAGATAAAGGAAAGAAAAAAATTTCTCACCGCTGTTTTGTATTTTTGAAAATATTTCATTTTAAATTATGTTTAAAAAAATTGGAAACTTTACAGGCTGATTTGATCATTTTTGTTATGTAAACAAAGCTGTGCATCAGGGGTTTTCTTGCATAGAGGAATTTTTGGCAACCCACAAAGAGGTCTTAATCAGTGTCAACAGAAAATCATTGCACCAAAATAATAATAATAGAAAATGTTACAATATGTTTGTTTTTTTAATTTGTTCATTTCATTTACTCAAGCATTATAGACATTTTTGTTGATCAGAAATAACAGAAAAAGACATCTATTTCTGTCAAATAGGGTAACACAGACTTATCATTTTTAATATATTTGGACCAATCATGTCACACTGTCATGTGTATTCACCCACAAAAAGCCCATTCTGAGCCCAGAAACATAAAACATAAAAGATTTATACTAAAAGTTGATTTCCTTAGTCTAAAGCCTACACACTACAATCTCTGTGTCAGATTTTAAATCTCTACTCTATTAGTAAAAACATAAAAAGAGCGGTTTCTCTACATTTCTCTGTTCAGATTACACAGTCGTAGTCTTTACCTGTGTGATCTCGGCCACCTGTCTTTTTCATTCCAATAGGCCTGATGGTGTATTTCTCCCTCTTCTTCCAGTGTGTCCTGTTGTTCTCCAGAGAGGCTGTGGTGAGGAATCCTCGGCTTTGTGCGACTGTACTGGGCACCTGAGATCCCAGCTTAGTCTGTGCAGCCACCTGTTAACAAAAAAATGAGACACGCACCTTGTTTGGTAGCTGTAATGCTGTAAAGCGACTCTTTTAGTATGGGTGAAAAAAGATGGTACTACCTGTGAGGAGAGCAGAATAGGTTGGGAGAGAGTCAGAGAGCGCAGCGCTCGGGATAGACACGACACCGCCATCACAGCAACAACAACAGCGTCCTGCTGACAAGGAAGAGGAGAGGTGGGTTGTCAGCTGTTATTTCTACAGCTTTAGTTGATGTGTTTTTTTCTCTACAGTGCATGGGCATGGATTTCACAAGCACAAGTGACATGTCTCCCTCAATATTTAGTACACAAGCCCCAATAAAAAACATGCATGCAGGCATTTTATTTTGAAAAGTGATGTAATGTTAAGAGTGTTAGGTCTCTGATAGATCCAATCAATTTTAATCAGTTATGCCCACAATCTGTTCATCTTGCTTTCAGTCAGCATCATTATGACATAGAACAGAATAGAATATATATTTATAACATTATTATTATTATAGTTTACAGCTAACTGATTCATAATTGCAGCTGTTTTCAAAAAGTGCAAACATTTTTCAGCAAGAGCAGAACTCTTGCTGAAACACGAGTGGTCCAGGGGTTTATGTATATTTGATGCTTTTGATGTTGGTTAATGTAGCAAAATACAATAAATCTGTAAAGGGCTACTCTTCAAAGAAGACGCAAAAGACTAAATTATGCTTGTGTGTGTGTTTGCTCAACAGAATGCTGGAGAGCCACACTGCATTACATTCCACTGCATTTTGATTGTCCTCTGGAGCCTGAATTTTGTGTTTTTAGTAACATAAAGATATTTTAAACATAAATTGATGCAGAAAAGACATGAATCGGTGCATAGAAATTCACCAGAATATGACAGAATATGATTCACCAGCATATTAAGTGTCTGAGGTTTAAGATACCCCACACTTAATGTGTTCATGTAATACTTACCATACCTGTAGCTTGTATCATTAGCTTTGGTGTTTGCAAGTTTAAACATTTATCTGCCTCTAGCCCTGCGTGTAACGTATCTCAAATGAGTGAAATAAGTAATAGTTAACAACAACAAAAAAATGCCTTCTACATTTTCTACTGATCTGCAATTGTATTTCTGTCTCAGTTGTGTCCATACTTTAATAACTACAGCTTTAAAAGACAACAACCTTATCAAATTGGCAAGCAAACGTGAGTCACAGCTAGCTTAGCCGCTGTCTACTAAGACTATGTAATTAGGCTCACTAACGGAACTTGCTTTTTATGTCTGTTTAGAGGAAAGACACAGAATCAACGCTTTGTCTCAATTCAAATGTAAGACATAACACAAAGTAATAATACGGCTAAACCGACCTTTATATCAGACTTATTTCATCCTGAGCTTCTCAGCGGCGTCCTTCACAGTCCTGCATGCTACGTCGCGCATTGATGACGTCGCATCCAACGCTGACATCTGTTTCCTCATTTTTATCGATTAATAGACAAGAAAATGAAATATAATTAAATATATAGCCTGGACAGCGAAGTCAATGTTAAGCTTCGGTTATATATCCATTATATCCTTTTTTAAAGCTTACAGGATGTCTGCCATACATACAGCGACAATTGACCACATTTTCTGACGGCTGCTTTCAATGTGGCCTCAAGGTGGCAGGATTTCATTCTCTATTCAAACACGTGAATGTATGAATTATGTGGATGTGGTCTCAAACTTCCCGTGGCATTGTTGTACAAAAAACTAAATGTGTAGCCTTGGCTTGTCGCACTTAACCATTTTGCCCTGGTCACATTAACATGTACTGCTTCATAGAAAGAAACATTTTATTAGTTGATCTACTGTGAAACTGTTCTGTTATTTATCACAGAAAGATTTTTTTAAAAATGGATTACAGAACAATATTGAACCAAAACTATATACACATGTGTTGTTGTTGTGAGATGACATTGGGCCCACTGGAGTTCAGCGTTGCCTGTAAAGTACTTTCTAACATTTGTTTTGAAAAGTGCTTTATAAATAAGGTTTATTATTATTATATATTAGGCAGACAGGACAGACGGACACAAATTGCCAGGGTTTACTAGTGAGGATGCACATATATAAATTAATTGGGATGAATATTGAAGCTTCTGATCACACGGTTTGTTGTTATGGCTTTCTTATTTTTACAGTCTTCAATTGAAGTGGCGTATTGCTGCAAAACAAAGAGCTGCGCGTATGGTTTGGCGTCTGTCCTTTTTTTCTTGTGTATGTGAAATTTTCCAAGCATCAGGATTAGTTGTACACAAAACTATATCTTCGTCCAGGTTTTCTTCAAAATAAATGAGAATGTCCTTTTTTTGCAGACTCGTTACTTGTCATGTTATTGTGATTGTATAGCGCTGTACACCAGTCCAGAATGCTTTTGAAAATGCACATTTATAAAACAGATGATGAATAGTTTCCTCTTCATTCCAACAGAATTTACACAACAAATCAATGTACACCTTACCAGTATCTTTTGTGTTGGATAAAGCTTGTGTAATATGTTAAATTTAGCTTCTTTAACTTTATTGTTTAAACAAAACTTCTCACCAACTATCCATGCTTTCTGCCAGTTTATTTCACCATAAAAAGAATTCCAAAAGGATTCAGACAGACGATAGAGGAGCAGCGAAAACAAAACATGACGTCACTCTACATTGCCGCAGAGGCTGCTGGGAGAGTCCTGCTGTGTCGGAGACATTTTGGATTTAAAGGGGCTGAGCTAGCCGTCAGTCCTAGCTCTCGGTAAGTGAAAGCTCTATTTCCACTATCAAACACTATACTTTTTGTTAACCCTGTATACGATAGTGTATTTAAATAGTGTCCATTTAAGATGCCTCGTATAGAAACGATCAGCTCGGCGCTTTAAACGGGATAAACTCGGTAAAACTAGCCAGGGAGTGGTGATGCTAACTGGTTAGCTGGGAGCTAGCTAGTCGCCGAGCGGAGCGCTAACCAAATCAGACAGCCAGCGTCACTGTGAGGTTGTTAAACTAATGAGTTTACGGCTAGAAAATATCACAATAAATCTGGTGAAGGAAGCTTAACTGTTGCCTTAATGACACTTAAGAACCTGTTAAATGGTTTAGAATATCTTGTCCCCGTTATGATCCACGAAAGCAAGATCAAATTGTGGGAATCCAATAATTAGCAACGTCCATGTTAAATAATAGACTTTTTTTTTTTTTTTTTTTTGCTTTGCAGTAATTTGTAAATGCACAGAAAGCTCTTGCAGCATGTCAAGGTTATGCAGAGTCATTACAATGTAACTGCATTAGTCAAATGTCTAGCATTGTTTTTCAACATTGGCACATCAGTGCTTTGGCACAGTATGGAGGACTGTGGTGGAGACACAGGTGCCACATTTATTGGAACTCCTCAGGCTAGACAGATGCTCAAGCGGGTGTTTCTTCTGTATCCGTGACAATATTCAGGCAGACATTTTTCAGACAGCCATGAGTAGGGAAACAGCCCTCCAACAGCTGGTTTCAGTGGAGTGATGGATGACTGTGGACAGTGTCAGTGGCACCCTTCTGGTTGTTCCAGGACCTGCCACACCCTCCTGGATGGCTGGTTCTTCTTTGTGTCTGGCAGTGATACAGACAGTGTGTTGGATTGCTGTTTGTGCAGGAAACAGGAAGATTTAGTGATCTGGTGGTGTCAGACTTCATCAAGTAGACAGGAAATGCTTCTCTGGGGAGATGGCACAGAGTTCGGCCATTGGCTTGTTTTTCCACCCATTGCAGTCTGCCCGTTTCCATTTCCTATGCTTGTATTTTACTGTTATTACACCAACATGCATCACACCCTTTTTCTGAAGTTTATAAGCTCTGTGACCTCAGCAACCAAACGCTAACAGTTTTAAAGAAGAACATAGCAACATCTAAATTAGGAGTTTTAATCTTTTGTGGAAAGGTTGAACATGCAATTACACCTTCAAGTGCACATTTATGCCAATTAAGGGTTACTCAGTGAATCCACTTGAATGACGGTAGTGCAGTGACAGTAGTGAGGGGTTATGAGAAAGGAGGAACTGAGTAATGATGATGTTAGCCATAAGGAGATGAAATACTGTGAGTCCTCTCTGGAGATGAAAACTAATGAAGAGTGGATGGACAAACATGACAAATGATGGTTGTACTGTGAAGAGGGATTTGAACCAGTCAATACACCGTGTCCACCAAGGTGTTTGTTTAAACACAAAACTGTCTTTTATAACACTCCTGGGCACTTGTATTGGTTTCTGGGTTGTAGCTGCTGAGATTGCTGCAGTATTATGACCTTTGAGCCCCCTGCAAGGTTGAGTCATCTAACTGGTCCATAAAATTCATTTCCTGGCCTACATAATGTAAACAACAGAAAAAAGAAGGCTTGTCTATTCAGGGATTATGTTTATATCACGTTGTCTTAAGGATTTTTGTGGTTTGGAAATGTATTCCCTATGGCCAGTGTTGTTAATAACAGAGGCTGTGTACCTTGTATTACATTCTTATGTAATATTTTTTGAGTTCACTAATTGAGCAACCTATATAATGTATATAACAAAATGCTTTGTTGTAGGGACTCTGCATGCTAACTTTAGGAAGTGCAGAACTGGTGAGATGCTTTAACACTTTTCACATGAAGTCTATGTACCACAGCTAATCTATCGCTGTTCTGAAGTTTTTGTACCCTGATTTTTTTTCACATGAATCAAATTTAATCATGTGATTGGAAGCCACGTAGTGCTGAACTGCACGACACTGCTGTGTTAGCCCATTAAAATCACTGATGAGATTGTCTGCGAGATATATGTTTGAATGAATAGATAATGTATTTGTTTATTATCTGGAATGCTGAGTGTAAAAGTTTGGGGGGAGATTATAAATGAGGTATTTAAGAATTGATACTCTCATAAGAATTTATGACCAGAAACTATATGCAAGTCACTTGAATATTTGCACAGTTCCAAGAGGCTGTGTGTGTAAATGTTGCAGAGTGCAGTTTGTCCTCAGCCTCTGGGCCATGTGCAACTCCTATTGAGCCTATAAATGGTGTCATTGAGGCTATTCCACGGTATCTCATTAGGCCTGTTCCTTTGTGTCTGATGAGTATGGAGCAGAGAAGCAGAGGCTACATCAGCATGGCTCCCTCCCCCATCTGACCTGCTCCTCTGCACTCCACTGTCTTCCTAGCGCTGTGGGCGGGCCCATCTCTTGATGTGCACCCTGAGCTGATCTCAGTTGTTTTGCTGAAGCAGTGGGAAGGTCACCATCGTCCTGCAGGCAGCTCCCATCCTCCTTTCCCCAACATCAGCATTCATCACTCTCATTACTGTCCCGTTTCATTTCCATTTGCCTCCGTTTCACACTGAATGTTTCCTTTTTTTATTTTAAAAAGGATCTCTTTGGATAAGGACAGCAGTTTTATGTTGCAGTTTGTTGGCATGTAGCGCTGTTGCTGGAGGAGGAGACATTATTTCATCAGCTTTTTTCCGTGCCAAACTATGAGGCTCTGATCTGCCACTGAAACTGAGGTTTGTTTTCTGATCCACCAAGCTGTAGCAGCTGTAATCGCCGCCAGCATGAATGATGGATGGCATAAGTCGTTAGCAGCCATTTAGTGGGTTTTGTAATTTGATATGAAGATTCTTTCATATGTACCTTTTTCATATTTTGTTTAGTTTTTTTTCTTCATGCTAAAAAAAATAGCATTTTTTTTTGTAGGTATGCCAGAAGAATGGTTTTAGACTTCAGCTCTAAAACCCAATTTTTGAAGATACATTTTTAAAAATAATCAGTTTGCTCCAAAGCACCAGTGCGAAGCAGGAACATCTATTAATGCACCATGTCTTATCTATGCTGTGTTCGTATTAAATGGCAGGGTTAAGTAGCTGTGGGTTGAGGGATTTGCTGAAAATGCTCTCCGTGTGTCCCTGTATTTACTTTTTGCTTGTTATAAGTGAGCCAAGAATATTTCTTGTTGCTATCTTCCTAACTCACCGCTTCTCAACCTTGATTAATACTTTATCCTTATAATTTCTGAACCTGATCATGAAGGCTTTTGAATAAGAGCGAAAATCATCTGAATATGTACAATAGAGTGTAACATGTACATGACAAATGCATATTTATTTTGTTCAAAAGCACTGTACAGCAATGAAAGTAGTTATATTCTGGACACCATAAGTTAGTACCAGTGTGTCATTTCATTTAGTTAGGCTCTTGCATTTTTCTCTTTTGATGCAATCAGCTGTTTAATTTACAATTTTTATGGGACAAAGATACAACAGGGGAATGTCAATGTTAAAGATTAATTCAAGGGCAGCCTCTTCAGGGGAACACAACAAGCCTGTTGGACTTTATCTCACCTCTTTAAAGACTTGGAAAATATTAACTTCTTCTGTCTAAAGAAAGAAAGCCCTTGATGCAAGTCTTTGAGTATTTTATCAAGGAAAAGATGCTGCCTGACATGAAAGCACTTCTCTTTATTAAATTCTGTGTATACCCAGCTAGTCAGGCCTTTCATCCATACAGGTGTTAAACAGCTGAGAGTCAGAGTAAGTCTACAGGGTAATAAGCTGTCTGATCTTTGAATATCCTTGATCTTTCAAAGAGAACATTTCATATCATGTTGAGAGAAGCTAGAGTTTTTTTTTTTTTTTTTTTTTTTTTAAACCAGACCTTATCAGGTAGAAATGTACTGTAGGCTCCAATCCAAAGCTGTCATAATACAAAGTTATGGTTTTACAATCCCTACCTTGACTTTATGTAGGCCTCACCGATTTTACATAATATTCATGTAGCCTACTACTATAAATCCAAATGAATACAGTGCGTTGTACAACAGAGTCATGTCTTCGCCCATGCAAATAAGAGTTCAACTCAATTTGTTTGTGGCCTTTGACTAAACTTTCATGTAAAGCAGTGAATGAGTCAGGGCTTTTTGTCAACTGTCTGCACTGCATGCTATTTTCTTATGTTAATGCAAGTTCTCCCAAAAACATGTCATTTCTTGTCTGCTGACTCATTACCATTTGCACATTTTACTGTTGAGCATGCTTTCGACACTTGATTGTAAGCCCTCTGGTCATTTTGTTTTTAGCTTGCTAAAAAATGTGCATATTGCAATAATTCCACAAAACTCTTTTCTACTAATGGATCCTCACAAGATCTGCCTTTTTATATGTTAGAGTATACTATATTTTTTTTCTTAATTCCCAGCCTAACCTTTAAATGTGGGGGGAGGGAAAAAACTCTGCTCTGCTTGACTTGTTGCTGCTCTTCTGTGTCTTCCTCTACAATGAAAGAGAAGGGATAAGTACAGTGCCTAATTGAGCTGAGAGATGCTGTAACTCACCACCTCTGGGAACCATATCTAATATGCTCGATATTAATCAGCACTGCTCTGATGTTTTACCAGATTTAACAAGAGGCTAGCAGCTTTTCATCAGTCTTAGCCACCAATCACCACCCTTTTTTGTAATAAGGTGCATGAGTTCAAGGGTGGTACCTAGAGAAAGAGGAAAAAAAACTCCATTGTATGCAATTGTGTTAGGTTACCCGACACTTATCGATCCCTGCTGCTCTCCAGCCCATCTAGAGATTCCAGCTCAAGTGTCATCCTGATTAAAGCTGGTTTCCACAGGCTTTCTGAAACTGGGTTGGCCAGCTAGCCTATTACCTTGCATGCATGTTGAGTGTGTCATGATAGGTATTAGCATAATACATAACAGTCTCATGATGAAGCCCAGCTGTGATTACAAGATGTGACATCCATAATGTCACAACTAGGACGTAATTACTGGATACCAGCAATAGATCCAGCTGATATGTTGTCTGTGTTCCTGCCAGTGGGAGTGTCAGCTTTAAAGCCCAGCCGAGGTCCACTGAAAATACACAAGCAAATACCCTTTTCTGTCAGAAGAGATCTTAGAATATCAAAGTTAACAAATAGGCAGAGGTGCAACATTTATTCCATTAACAAAAATTAATCAGGTGCTACCTCGATAACTAATTAATTGGTTTGAGGCATTTTTAAAGAGAAAGAATGCCAAAATCTGTTTCCAAGCATTTCAAATGTGTTTATTTTGTGGTTTCATTACTCCTCTATAATTATCTCATTGTGAATGAAACATGCTTTTGGTTATGGGCTGTTGCTCAGACTAAACACTTGAAATCATTACCTCAAGCACTAAGAAATTACAATAGACATTTTTTAAACTGTCTTCTGACATTTCATTGACAAATGACTCAAATTATTCAATGATTAAACCATCATTAACTGCAATCATGTTGTGTTGTCTCAAGTTGTTTAACTATTAACCCAGCAGTCAATTGCTATCTTTGATCAATGAAGAAAAAACAAAACGTAGGTTCTGCAGTTAGACTAACACTAGTTATCTACAACAAGACCTAGCATTGCTGTCATTATCTCTTCTGTTGCCACAGTACAAAATAGCTATTTATTGCTAATTCTTTAGGGCTTTTGTTGGTCTGTTTACTTTCTTAGTGCTCTGCTTTAATAGAGAATGGCAGAAATATAAGTAGCAAATCAGGGAGTGGTGTGCTAATGGTGTAATATATTTTTCTGAAGGCAGATGGCTCTCAGCTGGTGTTTTTTGTCACTGCAAACCCCCTTATCCTTAACCCTTTATCCTCACTGCTGCTAAAATACACAACGCACTAGTTCAACATTGCCTGCTCTGCAGTTGGAAGGGCAGGGCTGCGTATGACACTGACATTTGCACGCTGTAGCCAACAGTGATGTGGCTCACTGAGTCATAGGTTATCTTCAGACTGTTTGGGAAAATAGCACATGTTCCATACGCTCACTAAAGGGCTGACATTTCTTGAGAACACAGTATTATTAAAAGCCACTGAGGTTTTTTTTTTTTCTCCGACTGGGCCAGCTGTTGAGCTGTATTACTGAGGCTTTTGTCAGGTCATCCTCTCCTTGACTCTTCAGCCAGTCATGCAGCCAGCAAGACCGGCCTCAGTCAGGGTGCTGGCACCAGAAAACCTCCACACTGCAGCATCTGTGTGCACAGTGTTACACTGCAGCTCTACTCCCAGTCAGAGCTTATTATAGGTGCCAAATCCCAACAGTCTCTCCACCAGCATGATATGTCCTGTGGCTCTTGGCTGCGTATAAAGCTATGCATGTCTTCACTTTGTATGTGGCTATTCGCTCAACCCTCAAAGCTGAATAATTCATCAGACTTGGGTGAAGTGTAGCGCTTTTTAGTTCATGCGTTTCATTTCACTAACATCCTTTCTTGTCTAAGTGAAGTGTATGCATTTTAAATTTGTCTAATTTTTGAGCTGAAAGAAATGCTGACCTATGGTGTTTATGAAATTTAAATTCCTCATCCCTGCAGCAGTGATGAAACATGAGTTAATAACTTTTTATGCCTGTCACCTTGCTGGAGGATCCTACTATGATCTTATTAGCAGAGCACAGAGACGGCGTGTTGTCTGTTAGCATCAAGGAAGAGTGCTAAACAGTCATAGATATCTTTAAACTGAGAATACAGAGGGCCTTCTCTCATGTCACAAAAGCAGAGAACACCATAAATGTTTTATAGTGTAAAAGATCTTTGGAAACTAATGATACATTCAGTTAAAGAGAGGAAACGTAATGAGAGATGTTTTGACAGTTGCTGTTCAGCTGAGCTAAATCATCTGTGCTCTCAGGTTATGTTTTGTGAATTTCAGTGTTAAACAAGCACAGCTGTGTTTTCGGAGGATCAGTATGAAAATGTCCTTTTTAATGTGGCAGCTGCTGTTGTGGTTCAAATTCCCACAGTGTCTCACAATCCCCATTCCCATTTTATTCTCAAATGTTGTACAGGTTTCCCTGAGCTACAAAGAAGATGTCCACCATGGTGTATCCACGGGAAGAGAAGCTCGAGAAGCTTTCTCAGGAGGAGATCATCTCCAACACAAAGCTGGTGATCCAGGGCCTTGAGGCTCTGAAGAACGAGCACAACTCCATCCTCCACAGCCTCCTGGAGACCATTAAGTGCCTAAAGAAAGATGAAGAGGCCAACCTGGTGCACGAGAAGTCCAATCTGCTCCGCAAGTCAGTGGAAATGATTGAACTGGGCCTGGGAGAAGCACAGGTAAGACTTGGTGGTGAAGATGCAAGGACAGCGAAATAGAATTTGTCTGATTAATTAGTGGATATAGTTTGTTGAATAGGATATAAACAAAAAACAAAATGTTATGGCAAGTCAAATTCTGTATTAAATTTTCTCTATATGTTTAACCCACACATCCAACGCTCTTCTGCTTTGGGTTTTTCTGCTTCCTCACAGCTTCCTCATTCTATACTGAGCTTGTGTGGTGATTATGATTCATTCAGAATCAGCCCCAGTTTGTACTCCGCTGCAACACTGGCCGTATTTAATGTCACTGATCTTCAATGCTGTCTCCGTTTCAGGTGATGATGGCCCTGTCCAACCACCTGAATGCAGTGGAGTCTGAGAAGCAGAAGCTGCGTGCCCAGGTGAGGAGGCTTTGCCAGGAAAACCAGTGGCTGCGAGACGAGCTGGCCAACACCCAGCAGAAGCTTCAGAAGAGCGAGCAGAGCGTGGCTCAGCTGGAGGAGGAGAAAAAGCACCTGGAGTTCATGAACCAACTCAAGAAATATGATGAAGATGTGTCACCCACTGTAAGTAAAGATAGCAAGCATAATATCACGACTGAAGCCCTACACTACAGATCAATCTACATAGTTGTTATTACTTGGTGTAGTATGTTATTGTGAGATTGGGTTGATACATTCACTACTGAAATGTCTTGTTTTTAGATGTTTTGCCTTTATTGTAACAGGATACTTAAAATATATATTACTCCCTCCTTACACTGTTATCAAGTTGCATTTGTGATTTAGCCTCAGCAGTGGATTTAAGATGACCTTCAGATCTCCTCTCAATTTACCCATGTAAATCTGAAGACCACCACACTGTCAATGACATCAGTTACAAGTGAAAAAATGCTGCTTTTGTTTGTATATAATACTCCGTGGTCTTCCAGGAATGAGCCCCACTGATGGGGTCGTCATTGATATGGTAGCTGGAGGATGAATCACTGCATTTTCTTACCATATCCTTAGTCACAGAAAGAGCCTGTAATAGCCTGTATCCACAAACTGCTTAACTCAGCAGGAACCCATCCTGCTGGAAGCCGGAAGATGCTTGTTCTTACTCTGGAAGCAGCTTTTCCATTTTTCAGCTTTTAATCGGCTGCTGCTGTATTAAAATCTTTTGATGTATATGGATGAATACAGCTTATCCTTAAGATTCAATTTTCACTGTCGAGGGGAAATAATTCACACATGAAATATTAAGTGTACTTTTTTAAATGAAGTGTCCTAATAGTGTAACATAACCAGTTTCATATATGTAAAGCTAGATCATTTTTTTGTTCATCCGTGGACAGAGATTTGATTTGCCCTCTGGCAGTCTCTTACATTCTATCTCTGATGCTCAGTGTCTCTCCAGATATTATCATATAAAACGGGCTTGCATACCAATATAATTAAGCAGATTGATGTGCTTGTCATTTTTCATTTCTGTGTTTTTCCCGTTACATGTCCTTGTTAATTTCAGATGTCTGATGTAGATGATTCCTGAATTGCCATTTATCATCTCTGCTGTCTGTGAGAGATTCTGAATAGTAGTTTTGTTTCGTTCTCTCAGCAGGAGGAGAAGGACAGAGAAACACCGAAGGACTCCCTGGATGACCTCTTCCCTAATGATGAGGAAGAGCATGGCCAAGGAAGTCAGTACAACTTAACGTCACATTAAAATACAACTTGCCAATAATTCTGTAAAACCAGTTCTGCAATGGATGAGTTGGCTTCTGACATAATATAGTCATCATTTAGACAAAAGAGCTTGTAGTACATCTTTATCCAAGAGTATTTATAGTATGTGATTAAAATGAATAATTGTTCATGACTGGAATATAAGCTGGTTGGATCACATGTAAGTCAACAACATTTTGTTGCTAAAATATGGTCAAATTATGTTGTATCACATCCATCTGAGACTTGGTTAACACAGCTGTCCTTGTAAGTCCAGAACATTATTGGAGATAATGTTGTGTTGTGCCCGTAAACACTTAACCAAATTATTCCAGTCATCCAATTATTATCCAAATGTAGTTAGAGATATAATCAGGTCAGAGTTTTTTTTTTTTCCTTTGACAACTAATCTGATGTTGTGTGGCTTTTGTCCTCCACAGTGCAGCACCAACACAACAGTGCGGCCGTAGCTGCAGCCCAGCAGGGAGGCTATGAGATCCCAGCCCGCCTGAGAACCCTGCACAACCTGGTGATCCAGTATGCCTCTCAGGGCAGGTACGAGGTGGCCGTGCCCCTCTGCAAGCAAGCTTTGGAGGACCTGGAGAAGACCTCTGGACATGACCACCCTGATGTAGCCACCATGCTCAACATCTTGGCCTTGGTCTATAGGTCAGAAAAGTGCCTAGTTCCCTTGCGTCTTGGTTTTCTTCTTTTTGCTTCCTTCCTTCACAAATTATACCAAAATGCAAGGTACATTACCTCTCATCATGTCCTCTCTCTCTCTCTTACTTGTGCAGGGATCAGAACAAATACAAAGAAGCAGCCCATCTGCTCAACGATGCTCTGTCCATCCGCGAGAAGACCCTGGGCAAAGACCATCCAGCTGTAAGACGCCATCACTGTCATGGCAACTTTATCGACACATCTGTGTTAAGACAGATCAGATTAGGACTCTCTTGTAGATTCATTCTGTAATTGCTCAAAGAGAAAGGGAACAGGGAGGCAATAACTGCCCAGTGTTCTGTTTACGGTCCTACTCAGTCAGTCTTTATCGATTTTCTTCCCACTGTTAAAGTATAGATTTTTGACCATGTGCCTGCTGGCTCCAAGTAATCAGTCATGGCTGCTCAATGTCTGCCCGTACAGCCAGCATAACCCTATTCACGGAATCCTGGCTGTTGGACTACAATAGGAAAACATTAAAAGGCACTGTGTGTTTATACTTTTGTGAACAGATTTTTTTTTTAAAAAGATTTACACTGTAGCACTAAACACCTCATAAAGCCTAATGGAAGCTATTTCATCACAGAGTTTTGCGTTTTGTTTCATATTTTTACTCTTGTCACAAGGCAGGCAACACTTCCATCCTATTTAATCAAAATGGCTTAGAGCTTTTTGAGTGACTTGTACATCTTCATACTGTGATAGGTATTGTGAAGCTACAGTGCTTGTGCAACAATGACCAACACCAAAGTGATCTTATTCAGATTTTCTCTTTCTGTGTGTCCAGGTTGCTGCCACGCTGAACAATCTGGCTGTGCTGTATGGAAAGAGGGGGAAGTACAAGGAGGCCGAGCCGCTGTGTAAGAGGGCTCTGGAGATCAGAGAAAAGGTAGGCCATATCCCTGGATTGCGCCAGTAGAGCAGTCCACAGCACTCATCTCGAAGCTAAATCATTGAACAGTTATCTCATTGTAATAAGGTAACTAACAGCAATAATATTTCCAAAATGTCAACCAAAGCTACTATAATACCAGCTGCTATAAATAGGAAAAAGAGCAAATGATTTTCTTAAATTGTCTGTGAAGTTTCCACTGGGGGTCATTCCCTTGTCGGAGGGAAATTAGAGGGTTTAATTGAGAGCACAGCTGAAAATGGATAGCAGCCATTGGGGAAGCGAAGCAGGAGATGGATGTGACAAACTACAGAGCTCAGCAGGGTACAAAGCATCTCTTTGCCTGAAAGCTCTATTCTGTACCTTCTCTAGAGATCAGCCAGCCTTTTATTAGATCTCCTGATTGTCTGCAGCAGGCTGTCTGGTGAAAGCAGCAACAGGATGTTGAGCTGCAGAAGGAAGAGATGCATGGAGGAGCCACAGGCACCGAGGCAGTGAGACAAACTGAAATGTAAATTCAAAACATCTGCTTCTTGATTCCCCTCAGGTGCTGGGAAAGGACCACCCAGATGTGGCCAAGCAGCTGAACAACCTGGCCCTGCTGTGTCAGAACCAGGGCAAATACGAGGAGGTGGAATATTACTACTGTCGTGCTCTGGAGATCTATGAGTGCAGGCTGGGCCCAGATGATCCCAATGTGGCCAAAACCAAGAACAACCTGGTAAGAGAGATGTTCTTTTTTTTTTTTTTTCCTCTTTTCTTCCTCTCAAATGTTTTCTCTTTATCATACTGTTGGTGTTGAATCACTCGAGTCCCTGTTGAGCTGTGACTGTACCAAAGTAAACACAGGCAGAACGTTATTGTGAAAAAGTTGTTCATTGGTTCTGTCAGCCTAAGCTTGTGTCTGCAGGGATGTTGAGCATATGAGTTGCTTTCTGTCTGCAAAGATAACACTTTTAATGTCTTTTACAGCTCTGTTCAACTTGTACTTCACTAATGTTTTTCAGTTTTATATTGTTTAAATAAAAAATGACACTGTTTTTAGGACAGGCTTTATAAAACCACAAGTATTGAAAGGCAGCTGCCATTTTACTCCCTTACACATGTTGTCATCTAGAGGAGAAACAAGAACTGTTTTGTTTCCGTTAACCTTACTTTTAGATTGCCAAGCCAACTTCTTTGTCTGCTGCTTGAAGCTCTCCGAAGACCTACTTATTGCCTCTGTCCTTATTTATGATGGAGAGCTGTATGCACAGTAAAGAAGACTCAGTGGTACAATCTCATTTTTCATGAGCCACAGTGTGCCGGAGTAATATGCAGACAGGCTGCTCTTGCTCTCTCAGAGGGCACATTTTGAGTCAGTCGGCCCATTTGTTCCAAAACTTAAAAATATACTTTCATCTCTGTTTCTTCTTCAGGCATCCTGCTTTCTCAAACAGGGGAAGTACAAGGAGGCTGAGATTCTGTACAAAGAGATTCTGACTCGTGCTCACGAGAAAGAGTTTGGATCTGTTGATGGTAAGGCCTCATAGTGGACATTGTAGCCTTCGGTGTGTTGTTTATTTATACGTACCTGTGGTGAGCATTCTCTTTTTCTGGAAACCTACAAACAATAAATTTATACAAAGGTATCCCCAGAAAAACGGAAGTGAGCTACAATAACATGCTGTCAGGATATATATAGACGAGATTTGTTTTTTGGTTGTTTTCACCTTTCCCCCCACTATTGTCTGTCTTATCTTCCATTTGCTGTTTGTGTCACACCAGCGAGCAGAGTCAGTGGTGGACAGATGGTTAAAAAGCAGACGATGGTCTAAGCAGGGTCCCAGCCTTCATCGTTCAGAGGACTCAAAAGAATCTTTACAGAAACCATTCGAAGAAATAAAGAGTTTGCGTGTCTGAAAGATGAACTCTTGCAATTTTCTTCTCTTTTAGCTTAAGCTAAGCCTTTCACTGGCTTTCCTCCAGGGATTAGATTGACTGCTCTGAGAAAAGAATGAAAGTGACTCGACACAATGCACTGCTCCGACGCCTTTTGAGCAAAAGCATCTCACATTTTTTGGAGAGGCTTTTTCTTCATGCGTCACTTAATTTGACAATAGCGCTTAGATTCCGTCTTTTGAACCTGTTGGCAAGTTGAAGGTTTCAGCAAAGCAATATTAAGCAGTTAATATTATTTTCACCCGTGTGTGTGTGTGCGTGTGTGTGTGTGTGTGTGTGTAAGGCATAATCATTACCTTTATGTATATATGTGTGTGTGTATTTTGGCTTTGGATGATTATGTTTTGTCTTCTTTGTGTCTATTGCCTCAATATTATCACTTGTGGTTGTTGTTTATGAAATCTGTGCTTCTATCACTGTATTGCCCTGTATTAATAAATTTGCTCAGGAACATACTGTTTCTGATTCAGTCTTTGTACTATCACCAAATATGGTCAAATTTGACTTAGCTTTTAATATTTCCTGTCCAAACTGGCTTGTTAACATGCAGAAATATCTGATCTCAGAAATGCATTTAGCTCACCCTTATATTTCACCAGCCAAACGCATAAGAACACAAGAAAGACAATCAGGCTACCAAGATGGTAGAATCAGTAGAATAATGTTAAATCTTGGATTCATAGAAACATCATCAGATCAAGCTGTTCTGTGTCGACCATCTCTCCTCTGTCTGTCTACAGCTGAGAACAAGCCCATCTGGATGCACGCAGAGGAAAGAGAGGAGATGAGCAAGGTGAGAGGCTTTCTATAACCGTCCTTGCGTAGGTCAGAACGAAAGCAAAGCAAATGAAATATCTCAAATGACTTTTTATATTAGCAATAAAGAAATGGAAAAAAGCAAGCCACTTCCTGTAAAGTGAAATATAATACTAAACACACACTATAATCCCCAGAAGACATATAATAGTTATGTGTAAACACAAGAAAAATGCTGCTGATCCAGTTTTAACCACCACTTCGCCTCACTGCTTTTCCTTCCTCTTCTCCCTTATTTACTTCCAGGGCAAGCACAGAGACAACACTCCATATGGAGAGTACGGTGGCTGGTACAAGGCCTGTAAAGTCAACAGGTGAGGCAGAGGCTGATAAGAATGTTTTTACGGCTTGATCGTAAATATAGTCACATGATAAAGGCCAGAAATTAAACGTTATCATTTTTTTTGTGGTTTGTCAATAATTACATATCAAGGAGAAGCATTAGGTTTTTCTGGACTAGTATAACAAACTAAGAAGTGCTTAATCCTGCAAGGTTTTATGCATTTTTCCAGTAATTGCTGTGTTCATACTCAGCTGTTGCTCATATGAGTTTCTGAATAAATTTGTGTCTCTTCTGCATCCAGCCCTACAGTGAACACCACCTTGAGGAACCTCGGGGCTCTGTACCGCAGACAGGGCAAGCTAGAGGCTGCTGAGACCCTGGAAGAGTGCGCCGTGAGGTCTCGCAAGCAGGTCAGCGATATTTCCTAACCTAAAAAAAAAAAAAGCTAATTTTTGCATGCAGATACCTTATCAGTTCCTGTTTTTGTGAAGTCTGAAATATGTTCCCAGTGTTAGGACAGCAAATCTCATGATATTTCTTTCCCTTTCCCTACATTGCTATGGATCCAGAGCAACACAGTAAGTGGTTTGTCTCTAACTGATAGCCCCCCATAGAGCCCCCATCTCTCTCCCATAACATCACTCCCATCTCACAGTCATTTTAAATGTTTACGTCTCTGTTTATGACTGTGTTTTGAATGCATTAAAAATAATTCACCTCAATACCTCCATTTAACTTTGCACCCTCACCCATATTGACTGGCTATTGTCTGCTTCTGTGTTAGCTCTGATCGTCTTTGTTTGTTTGTTGCACCTGTCTGTTGCACTCATCAGGGCATCGACCCCATCCACCAGACACGTGTGGTGGAGATCCTGAAAGATACAGAGGGCGACAGGCGGAGGAGCAGGGACAGCCTGACCAGCGTTAAGTATGAGAGCGGCTCTGAGACCGGCGAGGAAGTGAGTATGGGCGTGGAGTGGAATGGGGTGAGTACAAATCCACTATAGTAGAGTCAACACGTCCAGTGGCCTCTCTGAAAGGATGAGGCAGTTTGTAATGATCACAGAGAGTGTGGGCTGGTATAGTACATCCTACAAGTGGATAGGATTTAAAATAGAGAGCAGCAACTTGCTATGCAAATTAGAAGATGAGACAAGAGGAATCTTGCATTTTAGATATGTGCAGTGAGATGAACAGTGAATAGGAAGCAAGGACTTTTAGCAGGAAGCTCCTCTGGCTCCTGTACTGTAATTATCAGGAAACTGCTCTCCATGAAGCTCACATGAAGCTCAGGAAGCCCTCTCTCCTCTGAGGTCAGAGTGCGCCAACACACCTGCATGACCTATTTTATCTCCGTCATCATCATCATTAAATCATTAGTTATCATTAGCTGAATATGGATAACATAATTGAAACAAAGTTCAAGTTACACGACCTGCTTTCTCTAAAATGATTCATAGACACACCTTCCTAGAAATTAATTATCCAAATTGCTGCTCAAAAACCAGTTTTTGATTTGACTACTATCAGTGAACTGTAACTGTACCAGTCCACCACCTCCCTGTAGATACGTCATATCTTTGCCATGAAGTTAACCTGGAAATACCTTTTGACAAAATGCAAAGCTGATTGAGTGTCTTGGCATGCCATTGTTTTATTTTTTTTTTTTACAGCATCACAGTTTGCTTTGGACTACATGTCTCATTTTAATAAGTGGTTGTTTGCCTGGCAATGCTTCTGCACAAGTGGAACAGTGACAAAAAGGCACAAGCTCAGTCTGTGGCACCCTGGCAGCATATTAAATATTTATTTGCTCATGTAAGACTCAGAGATACAGCCTGTCTAAATCCTTATTAGGATGTGTCATGTTTCGTCTATTAAGCGCAACAGACAAGCTTCCTAATGTCCTTGATGCTCGTCCCTCCGCTCAGTAAACTGGGCGGTTGATATGTATTGGTTCATCCTGCTGTTTTATTGCCTCGTTATAATGTCCTCTGGCTGGTGGCTGTTTCACCCTGTTAGTGCCACTTCATTGCTGGGGCTTTTATTTCTGCACGGCGGCCCTTTTCAGATTTGTTGCCCATCTTTTTATTACAGAGGTCAGGGCTGAAAACATGATATTTGGTGTTGCACTACGAGAACTGCGTCACAGTTAAAAGAAGCCCTTTGCACAAAACAGAGGGCAGAATCGAGCCGGAAGGGATGCTTCATCTGAGCCTGTGCCTCTCCCTTCGCTTAAGTGCAGCCACGCCCTTCACTGCACCAAGCCAGTCCAAACATGCATGTAGCAGTGTTAGCCTGCTGGGCTCTCCCCTTAACACGCACACTAATGGACCATATGTGCTCCATGTGTTTTCACATGACTGAGAAGTGTCTGTTAACCCGATGTCTGCCGCTTGCTCTCCTTCAGTAAAAGTTTGGGTTTTTGTTTTTCTGGCTGTTGTGTGAATGCGAAGGCTTCTCTACACATATAACCCAGCTATTCTGCAGCAGATCTAATGGCATGTATTCATCCAAGCGTGCACCTGTCTGTCTTTGAAACATGTGATGACATGCAGAGGATTGCAGGGTGTGTGCTGGCATTTCATTATCTATGTCACAGCTGTAGCAGTAGAAAATACATTCACACAGCCAAGCCAAAAAAAATGAATATATTCATGAAATTCTCATGCTTTTTGCTGATTGTTTCCGAAAACCAGTCACATTACTTTGTGGTTATGACTAAAAGAGTTTATAACAAATTCCATCCATCCATTCATTTGCAAAGTTACAAACATATGTAACCACAACTCGGTCGTCTTGTGTTCTAGAGAATAGGCTTGGAAAGTGTCGCACATTTCCGTGCAGATATTTCCTAAGCGATTATGTGCTCGATATGTCAACTGTTGTATAATGTTGCCTAAACGTGTCTTTATCGTGTATTCTCTGCTCTCAAATGTGTCACTGAGGCCAAAGAAGCAATTTAGACACTGAATGAGATATTTAAATATACGCCTGCTTTAAGTGCTCCTTCACTGATGCTCATTTCCCTAGTTTGTGTTGAACCGAAGGAGATATGCACAGAAATGACACCAGTTAGATGACAGCTGTCAGCACGTCTGTGGTTCTGTTCAGGTTAATGAGCTTACGTGTCTGTGTCTCTCTTAAAAAGCATGATCTAACTTAGTGTCTGTGTGATTGCTTTGTGCTCTTGGCTTTAATGCGCTGCCTGTTAGTCTGCATGTTTTCCAGATTTCATCTTTTTTTGCCATTTTCCTCTTCTGTTTGTCACTAACCTGCACCCTTGTTGATCCTTCTTGCCATGACAACCAATCAGCCTGTCAATCAAATTTCCTTTCTCTCATTCAGTGGATTGTACTCTTCCTCTTGAACTCTCACTACACACAATAAGCTTGGGTGGGTTGTTACATAGTGGCATAATGAATAGGTTAGATAATTAGCTCATTAGTCACCTCATAAGGTAATTGAACATAGAACAAGGCTAGACTAGTTTGGAAGGATTACGTTATCATCTTTCATAGGAGACAAATGTGGCTGTTGCAAAATTTATACTGCAGAATGTCTCAGCGTTAGTGTAAAGGCTGTATAAGGTGCTTGCAGTGCACAGTCACTGCCTGGGTTCCGTCTGCCAAGTTCAGGCTTCCTGGTACCCCAGGAGGAAAGAAAAACCGCTGAGTCACGGTGACTGCAACCACCAACCTACTGCATCACTGACCTGCTTGTTGTAGCGCAGCTTCTAAGACAGCTATAATTTATCAAAGAGAGGCAGCTCTTATGCTGGTGGATTTTTTTTACATCACTGTTTTTGTCAGCTTTGTGAAACTGCGGTTCACACAAACTGCAGGACAGATGATGCAGGTCAGAGGCAGAAAGAAGCTGAGATTTGTTAAGGTGTAGGCGTCTAGCGTAGGAAGCCCAACCCCAGAGCTCTTAATCTTACAATGTGTGCCGTTTTTGTCTCTTTTTTTTTTTTTTCTCTGTTTCTCTCTTTCTCTTTTATCAGGCCTAAGCCATCAAGATTATTCCTCCATCCTTCTCTCCTTCCCCAACACAATAGCAAAAGGATGTGTGTTGTCGTTCCCTCTGGCCTTCTCTGTCCCAACAAACCAACAGCTCCTCTACCATTCCCGGTGCCCCCTGCGGCAGAGACTCAGAAAGCCCCCCTCCTGGTTGTCACCTCTGTCCCCCTGTTCAGCTGACAACCGCTGGGACGTTTGGTCTTCTCATCTCTGCTCTGTTTTTTCCTCTCTCTCTTTCTCTCACTCTATGTCCTTTCCTCTCACTAACCTATGTCGTCCCCTATGTAGGATGTCAACTCTTTCTCATTTAACATAAAAACAACAAAACCAGTCATAGTGTGTGTAATCTTTCCCTGTGAGGAAGTCACCTGCACATTTTCCTGTCTTCAACACTCATTTGTAATTTGTCATAGGGGCATAGTAAATTTATTTGGCTAGTTAGAGGAGCAGGAGAGTAAGTTATCAGAAGAAGGCAAAACAAAAAAATGCTAATGTCACCTTTGACAGCAGACTCTGCTCCAGACATCACTCCAACCCATAGTCAGATAAGAAGCTACGATCGCTATTGAATCAGTATAGTGGCAAAATAACTCATTTCCACAGCTGCTCTGCATTGGTCTCACTCAGAGTTTGTTTTGTTCACTTGAACACTATCAACCACCAAGTGAAAGTTGACCTCAAAGCTAGCTTCCAACCTGGTGCCTGTATTTAGCCATAATATTATCCTTTGTTTTGTTTATTTAATGTCTCAACTAATGCCTGCAGCGATCAAATTAATGGTACTGTATAGTTTAACATGCAAAATTCTGCAGCCAAGTTGGTGAGGAAAGAGAAGGGAGCGTTGCCATGTTTTTGTTTTTATAGATATATTTCCTATTAATTTTTTTGTTTTGTATGATATTGTTTACATTTTTTAAAAATACTTTTGATTATTTTCTGGCTGAATATAAAGGTAGTAGTCAACAATGCCATTCTGTTGCCTGATGTGAAAGACCAGAAGGGCCGACATGAGATGAGCTAAAGATGACAGCAAATTGGTCAGATCGCAGCAAAATCTTGTTGCCATGGTAATTTATTTCCAAGTTGCTCTTACTGAGTTCAGTGTCCTTGGTTTGAAAGAGCACTCACAAAGGCTCTGTGCTGCCACGGTTATGTACACAGTAGCTCACATTTACAAAGGGAATTGGCAACACTGGCTGATGCTGCAAAGCCAATATGACCAACTGGAGCATCCAGCACAAACACTCACCACCTGAGAGGTCACTAGGTAATAATAGATTTCAAACTAAAAGCCCAGATTTGCCTTGTCCAGTCAGTGTAGGAGTGGAAGCTAGCATTATAACTCAACAGAAGTCTGGATTCCCCCAGTAGTTTTCGTGTGTATTTGTGAATGTTTCGGTGGTACAGTCGCAGTGCTCACTCTGGCTATGGATACTGTATTTTGAACACAAAAGCTTAATGGAGTGTGTTGCCTTTTTTTTTTTTCTTACACAGTTGTTTGCAATTTGTCACTTTGGTGAATCATGGTTTTTAGACACCAAAAGTACAGTGCAAGTGTTTCCTCAAGATCAACATGTTATTTCAGATGTTTAACTAACTGAATGTAAATTACTTTAACATCTTGGAAGTGTAATTGTAGGCTGTATTTATAGATTTGACAAGTGCATTCACTATACGGCTTTTTCAGTATGCTACTTGCCTTGATTCTTCATTCCTTCCAACGAGTACACCTATACTTCTAATGCAACTCTGAACAAAAGAATCGACTATGTTCATCACATAATTATGGCAATATTGTTGTGTTAGTGGAATGCTTATTTATTGAACTGTCTGTTCTTGACATATATAGTGTGACTTCAGTTTCCTAAAGTGGAAGAACATAAATGGTAAGGTCTATAAGCACTATCTTAGTAAGTAGGACTGCATTATATTTACCATTCTGCATTGTGAAGATTATTGCATCAACACTTGTTGGTATTCTCAAATAAAGTTTTTCATTTGTGAAGTTTGTCTTTTCTCTACATGGGATCAAAACACAGTCTTTGACGTCAGCTACAGAGACACACAGAGGAACAGAATGTTTCATGTCAGCCTGCTACATCTGAATCCTCAGATTTACCCACAGTTCCCCCTGCTGGTAAAAAGCCTCTAGTGCGTTACAATGACGACAAACACCGTTGTGCAGTCATCTGTGTTCCATCAAAGGCAGAGAAAGGTTTACATAGAGTGTTTACTGGGTAGCAATTAAAACACAATCTGTGTCGGGTAGCTGGTATGTCACAAATATACAGAATCTACCGATGAATGGATGGATGGATAAATTACGATAACAAACTCTAAATTCATTTTAAATTGGTCGAAAGAGAACGTCTGGGTTTGGTCACTGCGAAAGCTGCAACTAACGACTCTTGTCATGTCTGTTAATTTCTCAAACTGATCATTTGATGTGTGAAGTGTTAGATTATGGCAAATGTCCAGAACTCTATCCTGAAACCCGAGGTGACATATTGTCCCCATAAAACACATACAAAGTACATGTTGATTATGAGGCTAGTTGCTGATTATTTTATCAATTATCGCAGCACAACCTTTGAATCACAATGAAACCTTCCCAGTTGCAACTACCAGTTATTTATTCTCAATTAAGCTGTCCATTATTTTATTGTTAATTAGTTGTTTGCTCTATAAAATGGCAGAAAATGCAGCTCTACACATGGCAGTAACCTTGATACATGGACATGTAAACTGGAGTTGCCACAGTTGACTTTAATGGTAGATGTTAAGTGTACTTGCTTTATGCTTACAGGATGAAAATTCAGGAAATTGAATCAGATTTTCGTTTTGGCCAAAAGAATTCCTGATATTATCATGATATTAGTACAAACCTTTAAAAACAAAACCTGCATTTAGTAAAATTAATGTTTAACTTCATTGTGTTTTCGCTCTTTTTTTTTTTTTTGTAAAATGAATTACACTCAAAATATAAGCGCAGAAAGTGGAGAGAGATGCTTACTATAAATGTTCTGTATGTTGTTGAAGCCAGATGGTTACTGATGCTGCATCATTCACAATATTATCTTATGTATGTTATTAACATGACAGCAATTTTTATTTTTAGATGTCAATGTCAGTGTACTGTGACACCCCGACACTAATGTTGGACATATTTAACAATCCAGCAAAATATTGTCACCATATCAAATTTTAGTGAGACTTCATGGTCATGCTGTTTGGCTGCATCAATCACTCTCAGCAGTCCTGACCGACACAACATTTAATGGAAAACAAACATGCAATTGCAAAAGTGAAGAAAAGTAAGAACCATCCTTTTAGCTCTGAGGTCTCTCCACCCAGTCGGTGCTGAATGGGTTGTTGATGAGTGTGTGTGTGTCTGCAGGACGGCAGCGGAGCGCTCCAGCGCAGTGGCTCTCTGGGGAAGCTCAGGGACGTTCTACGTCGCAGCAGCGAGCTGCTGGTGAAGAAACTGCAGGGCAACGGACCGCCTGAACCTCGCAACACTAAGTAATTACAGAAGAAATCCTAAATTACAGCAGACATTTAATGCATTTTACACTCTAGAAGTTTTTGAAGCGATGTCTTCAAGAAGGTGGTAACTTTTCCAAAAAACAGATCTTGAAATGACCTTCCCTGCTTTTGTACCTTTAGCGTCATCTCCAACACTGTATGAACTCATTCCTATCATTTGTTCAATAGCATGAAGCGAGCTGCATCCTTGAATTACCTGAACAAAACCAGCGATGACTCCTTTCAGGTGAAACATGTTTTGTAACACCTACTTTTAAGTTGTGTTAAGTTACTACTGTTGTTCAGAATGTCAAATTTTAACCTTCGTGTCCTCCTCTGTTGTATCTTCTGCTCCTTGGTCAGACTCGGGGAGGCAGTAACTTCAGGGAGAGTCGGGGCCTCAGCTCCAGCACCGTGGCTCTGTACACCGGTAACTGAGCAGCAGGCGGGCAGGCAGGCGGGCGACTCTCCATCATCGGACCTGCTCCGCTCACTGACCCAAAGATGCTCCTTCCTGCGGCTCATCCTCTGAGCCGCGAAGACTGCCAACGACACTACCAGACAGCTCCCACGCAGCATCAGACCCAAAGACCGCTTTCCTTCAGAATCAAAGACATTTTCATTTTTCAAGTCAAATACATAAGCAACCAGTGTGTCCTTTTTCCAGTGTTGTTTTAATGTGACACATCGCTGTATTTCTTTCCTCATGTTCCTCATTTCTTCGTCGCCTCAGTGCCTCCTCCCTAAATGTGGCCAAGACAACATACCTCACCTGTGCCCCTCCTACACTACCACTGTGACTCTGCACTTTGAGTTCATCTGTTGCCATAATATCACCTGTGCTGGTATATTTCTCCTTGTTTTAATTTGAGATATTTGTGCTCCTCGATGATTTGTCTTCCTGTGCCATTTGATTGTTTTATATAGTGCAGATTAGATTTGGTTTTTCTTTGTGTAAATAAATGATTGTAGATTTTGTCTCCAAAAATAGACAGATAATAAATAATAATTATAATAGTAGGTGTGTTGGATTTGAAATTACATAATTACACCGTTTAAAAAAAAAAAAAATCCTTTTTTTATGTTAATTTTAATGGTTATACATTTGCCTGTTGAGATTTATTTGCAATGCGCGGTGTTGTTAAAGCTTTTGGGAAACAGGGTGAAGCGTTTATCCTACTGATTTGAGTCGTGTGACTTTTGAAACTTTCCGCTAAATGGCTGCTGCTTTAACCTTGACAGCTTTGAGATCTGAGTGTGGTTTTCTTTTCTTGCTGCTGATCTCGGTTTCTCTTCCACTGCAGAGAAAAACACAAGGATAATGTTTGAGTGATTTATGGCCTCAGAAACCTGAAAAACACAACCATAAAAAAATTTTCTGCTTTTTAAATTGTATTTATATATGAAAAAAAACTGATCTCTTGGCCGTTTGAGACTCAACTGCAGGAATGTCTCAATGTATATCTGCAGGTTTTGAGTTGCCAACTGTGAGCACATCTTCTAATGTTGTTTACAGTAATTAGGACGTGTGATGGTGATAGATTTTTCTTTTTTTTTTGCACAATTCTCAGATGGGTGTCTTCTGTCTTTGATCACATTTTTTTTTCTTCTTTTTAGTGAAGTTTAGTGAAGCTACTCAAAAGAACTGGAATGTCTTGTTTTTTTTTTTTCTTTTTTAATTTTTCCCTTGTTTTACAATGTTTTGCTTTCATCATTTGTATAATGTAATAATGTATAAATAGAATCTGATCATTACTTCACAGATCATGGAATCCATCATGAAAATTTGTGGGAATAGAATGAAGTGTCATTTGTGAGAGTTGAACCTGCATCTGTTTAGGCCTGATTCTTTAACAATCCAATACATCATAAATACTGATGCGTCTGATTTTGATTCAAAAATAAAAATCAGCTATTTTCTATTCAGTTGTGTTTTTTCATTTGTTTTGTATGACATTGTGTGTACATTGGTGATCAAGAGTTCATGAAGCCTTTTGAATTTTCCAGATTTTGTATAAACATGACCTTAAACATCACTAGAATTTCACTAAAGTAGATAAAAACAAAACAAATGAATAAAGATTATTATACTTGGGCATTTATTTAGTGAGAAAATGAACCGCAAGAATAAGCAGTTAATTTAAGGGTGGGTTTAAAAGTTGTGTGTTTTCAATGAATGGGATAATAATCAGGTGTCTTAATGTCAAAACAGTAATCAATCTATGTCAAATCTTCGCAGCTCAAGTTAATTGAAATGTGTCATCTCCAGAATAAAGAAGATTTTGTACCTGTTGCAGGCAGTTCTGGCAAAATTTAAAAGAACATTTAGGGTCATTCATTGTCCTCTTTGGAAAACAAATCCAGACCCAATAAGACAACTCTCAGACGGTTCTCTGTGCCTCACCAGAATGTTGATACTTTTTTTCATCCATGATGACATCACTTTTCGCTAAATCACCTATTCCTGAGGCTGAAATGACACCCCACACCATAATACTGCCACCTGCGTGTTTAACTGTCGGCAAGAGATGCTAATTTTTATATCTTTTCCCTCCTTCTGTCGAACATAAACTCTTCATAAACTCTGTTGCCAAACTATTCAAACCTGTACTCATCAGTCCACAATACTTAATACCAATCTTCCTTTGTCCAGTTCTCACCTTCTTTTGTAAATTTAACTATTTTACTCCTTCAGTAATGGTTTCTTCGCTGCTATTCTGCCAACAAGTCCTTCTCCCAGTTTCCGATGCACCGTTCTTGAAGACGCTGTTGCACCATTAGTCATCATGGTATGATTTTGTCACATAGTTCTCGTGAGGTCTTTCTTTGGTCCTTAAGACTGAGAATTCTCAGATGCTTCACTTGTCTGTCTGAAAGTTTCTTTTTTCTATCTGCCCTTTCGGTGCTGGTGTGAATTAGTGGCATCATGGCGGTTTAAGTGTACTTTACAGTGTTTGGACTGCATCTCAAATCTTTAGCTATGCATTGGTAATTCCAGCCAACATCTACAAGGGCCTTTATTTGAACCCTTGTTCATTCGTTAGCTTGTCCTTCACCTTTGCCATGTCCAAAGAGCAACATGTGCCTCAACACTACTTCTAGAGGCTTTAAATTCATACTAGTTGGTGGTGTGGCCTCAGTAACAAAACCCTGATGTTACCAATCACGTAATGAGCAGGATAGGCTTTGTATATTCAAAAGAATCACACAGCTGTGTTCTAAGACTTCTTCATCACCATCAATGTAACCACAATCACACCTAACAGTGGTTACACAAGTAATTTGGCTTCTTCTGTGACGGAACATGATTGTGCAACACTGACAGTGAAATAGGCCTAGCTTGATTTTTGGAAAGAAAATGACCTAAATCTCCTTATGATGGCTCTATTCTGTGGTTTATAGAGCATTTTATAGCTATCTCATTCAGTTTATGGGTATAAAGTCAATATCAGTCGGGCTCCAACAGTTCCCCAGGAGTGGTCAACCAATAAAGATCACTCCAAGAACAAGGCCTGTATTATTCCTTGGGGCTACAAACAGTAGAGGGTGGATTCTGAGCAGCTAAAGGCCTCTCTCACATTGACCAATGTTCATGTTCAAGAATCCACCAACAGGAAAACAATAAACAACAATGGTATACATTGCAGCGCTTCAAGGAGTGAACTACTGCTCTACTGTGTTCAAAGGTTTGCTTAAGATCATGTGGGCAAGTCAGAAGGCTGTTGAATGAGAGCCATTATGTTTGGAGAAAGGAAAACACTGGCTTCCAGCATAAGAACCTGTTTTTCATCTTTGAAGCACGGTGGTGGTAGCATCATGGTTTGGACCTGTTTTGCTTCATCAATGATGGAACACTGAATTCTGAATTAGTAAACTAAATATCAGAACATTTGTTCATGAACTGAAACTCAGGAGAAAAAGCCCTTAGCGCGCAATTATTCTTACCAAGGAAGGGTTAAAGAAGACTTGAAGGAATGTTTTGGAATAGCAAAGTCAAAGTCTTGATCTTAATCCAGCAGAAATGTTGTGAAAGGATTTGAAGTGTGCAGTTCATGTGAGGAAATGCGCAACATGCCAGAGTTCAAGCTGTTCTGTATGAAGGAATGAACTGACATTCCTCCAAGCCAATGTGCAGCGCTTACCAACAGTTGTGCTTAGTTGCAGTAGTTGTTGCATAAGGAGGTAACACCAGATACCACAAGCAAAGGTTGCATACTTGCACTACCCACATATATGTAACATTGGATCATTTTCCACAACACATAAATGTAAAATAATTTTGAGTTGTTTGTTTAGTTGGCTTCTGTATTTTCTGCTGTTCGGACTTGTATGAAAATCTGATAATGTTTTAGGTCATCTTTATGCATAAATATAGAAAACTCTTAGAGGTTCATATACTTCTAGCACCACTGTTGCAGATTTTTGTGGGGTTTGTCACAGACCATTAAAAATCATAAACATCTGGATTTGAAAAACTTTGAAGTCCCTAAAAATACAGATTGGCATGAAAATACTGTTCAAACAAAGTCATGTTCCCAATTTAGCTAATACTGTGTCTTGTCCCATCCACAAACCTGCATATTATATCTCAATAAACTCAGCAAAGCGAGATCTTAGAAGTCGGGATCCAACTTGAGTGTGGGAACTCTGTGAGCATAAATGCTTTGCCAAGATGTGATGTGTTCCTGGGTTTCTCCCTCCTCCTCCTCCTAATGGTAGAAGTCAGCCTGAGGTTTCTCTGCTCACTGGTAATCTCTCAGTATGTCAGAGCTTTAATGTGGAGCTTTGAATTAACCAACCTCAGAATGCTTGGGCTCCTTCTGTCAGCTGGCTCAGAAGCAAACAGCAGAGTTCATTAGTAACGAGAGCTGGCACCGTGCCCTCAGACTCTTCAAATCAAAGCGTGACAAGTTTTTGTGAATAATTTCAAATGTAATTTTACTACTACAGCCCCTTCATTGCATCCAAATGATGCTGCTTTTTCCCTGCTTCAGCCTTCTACTGTAGTTCTCTCCATGTTACTATGGACCACAGTGATCCATGTGCCAGCTGGACCAGCAACATGGCACCAGTCCCACGCTCAGCGGTAGCAGTGGTGCCAGCAGGGGCCGTCACCTTGCGGTCAGGGCGATGTGTCCTGGACATGTGAACTCACAGAAGGTGTTAAATAACAGGAGTGTGTTTTCCTGCTGGTGCAACTGTGGCATGATTAAATGCTTTCCCAAACTACATTAATCACAGTCAGATCCATGTTATACAACATACAACATCACAGCTTGGTGATTCCTCCCAGTATGTGCAATAAACCTACACAGGCCACACTGCTATAGAGATTTTACACAAATTATAGAGAAACTTTCTCTTAAGGGCCCATCAGGAAATTTTGGGAAATAATTTTACATCATAATAAAATGTAATTAATTACCAAGTGTTTATTGTTTAGGACATCATAGCTTGCTGGGCTTTTTTTCTTCTACATTTATAAATGATCTGAAAGGAGGGTGGCAGTGTGAAGGCAACAGAAACAGTGAGGAGGTTGAACCAGCGGGTCGCACTGTTGTTCTCTTTATCCCGGGTCAGGCACGGGAACGGAAGCCGCGCTGCAGGAGGACTGGGAGTAAAACGACAAGTGACTGCACATATACACTGACACTGGACGGCGGATTTCAAAATAAGATATTTTACTTTTTCCTCCCCCCCATGTATAGGAAACCTGATAGATTTATACAGTCTATGGTAGGAAGTTACGGAACAGCAACTGCAGAAGGGTTGGCGCTTGTTGTTAATTAACAAAAAACAAATATAACTCAAAAATAGATATAGCCTACAGCTTATAAATGTGAAAAACAGCATTAAGTGCATGGAAAACAAGTTACAATTAATATCACACATCATGTAAAACAGATACACACAGTTAAATAATGATGGTACACCAAAACAACAACAACAGTAACAATAATGGTAAGAAGAAAAAGAAGAAAGGTAGAAGTGAAAATGGAAAAACAAACAAACAGAAAATCCAATAATAACAACTAAACAAGAACAGCAGCAGCAATAAAATAAAAGATAGAAAATAGACATACAGGTAGAGATGAAATGTTTGCACATATGCACAATGTAAAAAGATCAAAACATTTTTAATCATGACAACACCAACAACACAACTAAAAAATAATAGCACAACAATACAAAGATAAAATAAAGAAATGGATCAGATAGTTAAAAATAAAAGTTCTGTATCTGACTGTGCTGATTCAAGTCCTCTGTAAAGACAGAAAATGGAATTTTACACAGTATGAAAAGATATAACTAAATTCAATCAAAATGAACCAAGCGTTAATAAATAAGTAAAGCAAATGTTCATGCAGATGTAGAGGAATCCCACTCAGTAAGATTAATTTTAAAAGTCCACACCGGAAGCGGCCGCCTTGTTTCCGCCAGCTTGCCGCGGCCGGGGCTGCTCTCCGACTGGTGGGAGGAACACGGAGTGTTTGGGGAGGAAGCCAACTTGGAAACACGGTGGAGTGAAACTCCCTGTTATATGTGACTGAGGCGGTCCGGCGGTCGGCGGCTGTGAGCGCAGGCAGACGGCGGCTTCTCTCTCTCCGGGCTTGTGATGACCCGCTGCAGCCTGACTTCCCAGCACTCCTCTTCGTCCTGCGAGCCTCCTGAAAGTTCAAACTTCGCTCCAAACTTTCGGCGGGGCTCCTCCGCTCTGAGCTCATTAACAAGGAGCCGCTCTGCCTGAGAACCGAAGCGTTACGACCCACATGTTCCTGCCCCGCCGCCGGCTCTGTACATCCAGGTGAGCGGGCTAGCTTTGTGTAGCTTCCCCCGGGGGAGCTGCTACCAGAGGCGGTGGTTTACCTGTACGCACACGGTGACGCACGGGGCTTTTCTTTTTTTCTTTTTCTTTTTCTTTTTTTTTTTGACGCTCCCATTTTCGCGCTACGGTTCTCCGCCGTACCGGGGAGCAACAGGACGGTTCATATGGAGCTAACAGGAGGGAGCGAGTCCTGGCGGAGGGACGGCAGGAGAAACCCCACGGCGTCGGCGGCGAGGAGCAGGAGGAACCCCCCGGTGGATGTGATGTTCGCTGTTGGCTTCATCTGCCTCCAAGGTCGGTAACAAGTACACTCAAATACGAGCAGCACGTCACTTCTGTTTACTTTATTAGCATTTAAATGAAGAAAAAGGCAGAATTTAGACGGTTGACGAGCACCCCGACATTGACCTCCATGCTTTTGTGCTGCTGCTGCTTCAAGTTAGTTCATCGCATTGTGGGAGCAGCAGCAGCAGCACAGACACTGGTGAGAGGAAAAGTTGTGTTTGGAGCTGGTTTTCTGATTCATTCCTGCAGAGAAACACTTACTAAGTAGTTAAAATGTTTGTTAGGGAGCTCCATGGGGAAGGGGACACCCATCCCCCATTGAGCCCAGTTTGGGGGAGAAAAAAAAACAACTGGAAGTTTTGTGAGTAAAAATCAAAATGGCAGATTTCAGTCAAATTTAAAAGAATATGAATTAAAAGGCGCAGCAGGGAATGGTAACACAATCCAGCAACACATGTGTTTGCCCATTGATTGCATTTCTCATGTGCAGCAGTGCAATAGTAGGATGATAGTAGGTTTCCATCCATCACTGCAGCTGCTCTATCATTACGTATTCCCTGGAGTATACCTCCATCCTCACACACACACATTGGATACACCATTTCTGATTATCATATTCATAACTGTGTTTGCATGTTTGAACTACCTCTCTCTGAGCCCCAGCTTGGCACGCTTTTATGGGTGCCATTCGTATGCATGGGTGAAGATAGGGAGTGAGTGGTGCTGCCTGACTGCTAACTCAGAGGAAAGAGAAGGGGCTTAGAAAAGGAAAAAAAAAAATTGAACATGATCCGACGCCCTCCCACATTGTCGAAGCCTCTCAAGAGTTCACAACCTCTGCAGCGGAGTGAGAAGAAAGCCACGGAGAGATCCTTCCTAGTGTGCGTTAGGAATGCTCTTATCCTGCCAAAGATCGGGCTCATCATTAACTCGGCGCTCATCATGTCAAAACTGAGTCTGGTTTATCTGATCTGCACATGGAGACCAGCGCAGATTGTGTCTCCCCCAGTCTTCAACACAGCCCCGATAGTCAAAGTGGCTGAGAAATTCCTTTAAGTTGAAGTGTGTCGGCTGCTCCCCCCACCCTCCTCCACCTCTTCAGTCCCCTCATGGTGCCCGCTTTGGGGATGAATGTGTCCTCTGTGTGCAGGCAGCAGGGGAGACGGAGGCTGCTATGGGTTTGTGTTTATAGGACGTATGAATAGAGCCAAGCCAGGTACTGTCACGACAGCCACGCTTTGTAGCCCCCTCTTTGGAGACGTCCTATTTTTAAAAAAGGGAAGGATCAGAAATTCCCACATGAAGCTGTCCACACCAAACATGTTTGATGTGCTGGATTTTCGGGCCAAATATTTACTCAGTTTTTTTTATTTAATCCCAATTTACAGCAATCACCCTTTTCCTTTGCTTTTCTGTTGATCTGGTTTCTATTTGCAGCTGACCAGTGACGTGGGAGCCTTCAGAGTAGATGAATGTACATACGGAGTTAATGTCCACAATGTTGATGCAACATCTCCCCTCCTTCCACCCCTCGTCCTGCCGTGTGTTTCTCATTCCCTCTGTGCCCCCCTGCTTTAGTCTCAGACACTGAAAGATAGATGTGGAAAAAATGACTGGGCTTATTGCAGAGCAGCTAAGATAGATGTGAAATGCTTAAGTAGCATCCTCACGAACTCATCCCCCCGTCAGACCCTCGTCTTTGATCTCTCTGCCTCATGGGCAGCTGGAGAAGATGTGCATTTCAGGTCTCTGAGCGCATTAATAATTTGGATGCCTCTGCAAAAACAAAAAAAAAAGTAATGTTTGAGGATTAGGATGTGTCCAAGCAAATTGGTTGATGGAATTTAGGACTGTGCAGTACTGGGAAAAAACAGACATTGTAATATTCTTCTTTTTTTTTCCCTGTGGTTTATGTTGCAATCTGGAAAATGCAGGAATTTCCTCCAGATGACTTCAATAACTGTCAGGAAATAGTTAATCATTCTAGTGTGATTGGGATGATTTTGCAAGAGAGCGCATCTGTATAGAAAATGAAAAATAATTTGAAGAAAATTAAGTTTATTTGTGTGCTTTCTGTTGAGGACCTGTCTTATCTGGTGAAGCACTGGCGAAGGCGTCTGAAATAGTGTTTTTTAATTAATTTCTTTTTTTAAATTTCATTTATTTGGAAGAGGGCACTGCATGCTAATGAACACATACAAGACTCTGTAAATATGCCAGATTTAGCTTAAAGCTAGTTTCTGTCCGTAGTACTCGTTATTAGTGAAATACCGTAATTTTCGTACTATTGAGCACACCTGCATATAAGCTGCACTCACTACCTTAAAAAAGAAAAAAAAATTGTATATATTTAGGCTGCACTTGTCTATAAGCTGCAGGTGTCCATGTTGTCATATGAGGTATTTACACAGAAAGATTTTTTTAAACTTTTAATTAAATACGTACAGGTAACGTACACAAATATGTACTGTAAATGCTTTTTTTCCGAACAGTGCCTGTAACATGGCTGGTTAAAAAATTTAAAATACAGCAGCCTACCAGGAAAAGTAATTGATCGCTATCTTCATCTTCCTCCTACACACTAAAATCACTAAAGTCATCTTCAGTGTCGGAATTGAACAGCCTCAGAATTACTTTGTCACATTTCCTCAGTCTCTCTTTCGTTGTCGCTCTCAGTGTCACTTTCGTCTTGTGGCAGATTTGCAAAAATCCGTAAATTAGCCAGCGCATCATTGTTTATGATGCGCTGGCTAATTTGCTAATGCTAATTTCCCAGTCTTTGCATCAAGATGAGACTAAGAATAATCTTCACGTGTATCCCTGAGAGCCAAAATTGAAATAAAATTGTACCCTAAACGCCTCACATGAAGTCAGTAGGACTGGTCCAAATGACGAATATCCAAATATTTTGGTGTGGTGCAGGCGGCTTGTGTGTGAATATAGATCTGGATACCACCACAACGACCGACTATTGGGATATTCAGATGTTCGGGTCCAGCCCTAGAAGTCAGACTAGAAGCTGGCCGGCTGTGCTCAGAGAAGCCTCTAGTCTCCAAAAAGTTACTTTGAAAACAGTTAAACAAGATGCTCTAATGTGAGATTTACCCAAGATGAATGAGGTGATTTCTTCTACATAGGCTGTTTTTTATGACATGGAGCATATTGAATTTGAATTTGTCTAATAGCTTTGTTATCTATCAACTAAAAGGATGATGTTTGGCCCCTAAGTAATGCAGCATGTCAGTATTATGCAGAACTGAGCAATCGACCGGTGGTGGTTCTTCTATGAGGGATCCATCAAAACAATCTGCCACATTTGTGCTGCATCAGCGCAGACACAATAAAAGCTTTTCTCAGGATGTTTTGTTGGCGTACCCACCTGCTGCTGCTTTATTTTAAAATCCATACGCTCGGCTGTTATTAACCCCTGCTGTTTCCGTGGGCCGTTTGGCTGCTCGCTGATCCTGATTCTCTTTACGCTGAGAGGATGTAGACTAAATAAACACAGAAATATATTGTGAGGAATGGAATTTGTCTGTTTACCATCAGGTCCATACACACAACGGTTTATGATGAAATTGCGCTGTTGAATTTATTTAAAAGGATTTGAGGGGATTACAGTAGAGACAAGAGCATGACGATTGTTTTCACGATGCTGTGAATGTATTCTTATCTTTTATGGTTTCAAGATGATTTTAAAGAAGATTGATTTTTATTCTCGCGGCATCTCGTAGCGTTTTTGATCTGATCCTTCCACTCTTTTTTTTCCCCCCTCCATCACCACAATTGATTGTGATATCGTGGTTGTGATTAGTGCTGCAGGGGTTGGATGTTGTGTGAACATCTGTGCAGTCTGTTGCCTACATCTAAAGCAATCCTCCACAGCAGCTCTTCAACACGCTATATGTTTTGATCCGGCTTTGTTGAGCTTTTCGTGAGGAGTGTGAGACAGACGTTTGTGGCTTTTAGTATTTGACGTATATTGTGTGTAACCGACTTCTGTTGCTTGAATTAGTTACTGAGAAGAAGTTTAAATTAGTCAGTGAAGATTTAGTTTTTTTATTTTCATTTTAGTTTTGAATTTTGGACGCAAATATATGTATATTTACATCAACAGATAACCAGGACTGCGATTATGTTTTCGTCAATAAATCTGTTGATTATTTTCTCGATTAATTAACTATATTTTTTAAATGGAAGAAAGTGGTGGAAAATGTTAATCAGTATTTCCTAAAGCCCAAGATGACGTCTTTAAATGTGCGGTTTTGTCCAAAGCCTAGACGTATTCATGTTATATTTACAGTGTAACGAATCATAGAATTTAGATTTTCTTTTCTTTAAAATTACTTAAAGTGATTAGTTAATTGATGAGCTGTTGCAGCTCTAACATTACACACATACCTTTGCGTGAGATATTTGGAAAAAATGATTGGATCCTCTGTGTACTGAGAAAAGCGTTTTACTCTTATAAATAAACATGGCGCTCTGTAAAGCTTTAGGGTTCCGTCTTCAATTTGCGCCATCGAAATGAATCAACTCAAATGGTTCGGAAATTTTCATTATCTGTTTTCATTTACTTCACAAAGAGGTAATTGTCTCTCAGTTTAGTTTTTATCTGTTCACCTCTGGGTTGTTTCTTCAAAATTAGATTTCTGAGCAAAAAAAAAATCAATAATAATTATTAATATAATTTTTCATGTTTTGCACTCGTGGCTGGACTGTACCATTCGTATCTGGGGGAGTCTACAGACCATAAATATACTGTCTGCGGCACAGCCTAAGTCGCACAACCGCATTATATATATATTACATATCACATCTGACCATAAAATAAGTTATCAGTTATGTTATTGTAGGAGGGAGCTGAAGACATTTGTGAACGTTACTCACAGACTGGAGCCACATGCCAGTGTATTGTTATGGTTGTTCACATTAAACATAGAGCCTTCAAATAGCTTTCAGTGTGCCTCTTCCCAGCAGCTGACCCTGAAGGTGTGTGTGTGTGTAAT